CAACAACAAAAACCCGATTTTCATTATTATTAATAACATTGAAGAGCATTAAAAAAATGAAAAAGAATTACCGACTGAAAACAACAGAACAAAACAGTAGCATCAAAGGTGTTAAAGAATTAAAACAAAACAGCCATCAACTGAAAACTATTTTTAGACATGCTGATCATTCTCATTATCATCATCATTGGCTTCTGTCTAACAGCAGCAGCAGAAGCAGCGAATGATGCTCTAAATTTGTGAATTTTTCTTTTCAAAATTTTTTAAATAATTTTCCACACTTGATGGTCATCTTTGAATATATTTGGGTGAAATGAATGATTGTTGTTTTGTTTTTTGGTGGACAAAACAGAATTACCAAATTTATCGTTATTTTTTTTTCGCTCAATTCGACCATCATTGAATGTGAATAAAATAAAATGAGGCAAAAAAAAGCGAGTGTTTGAAAAATGCATTCAACCAATGAAATACTATTATGTAGTGGAAATCAAAATAAAAAAAAATCATTCGAAGAAAATGAAAAGTATCCAATACATGTGAATCAACCACCATCAACAACAATGACAACCAAAAAAAAACGACAACGATAAAACCCAAAAACAGCAGAAAAACATTCTATGCATGGTTTGACATTGGAATTTTTTTATTCTCCCCTTTATTTATTCATACGAAAAAAGCGAAATGGACGCAAACATCAATTTTTGATTCAAAATACTGAATACTGTTAGCAACCACCACTATACCCACAAAAAAGAGAAATGAAATAAACTACCACCATCATCATAATCGTTTGGAAGAGAAAAGAGCATCGAGAAAAAAAAAAGACAACAAGTGGTCACCGGATTGAAACTTAATTACAACGAAAAACAACAACAACAACAAAAAATCCAAAAGAAAAATAAAAGAAATGGGCAACAACATGCATGCAAACGAAATGATAAAAAATTGTTGGATCTTTTGAAGAATAGGAACCCCAAAGTTGCCTTTTGAACAATAGGAACCCCAAAATCAAGCTATTGAAGAATAGGAACCCTAATTTTTTCAAAATGTTTTTATCAATGAATGTTTTTTATTATTGTTGAAAAATATATTTAATCAGTCAAATTCAATAAAATAACGTAGTATTTTATTAATTGTTNTCTGTTTTAACGTTTTTTTGCTTTTTTTAAAAAAAAACGTTCTTCAAGAATACATTTCCATGCTATTTTAAAAATTACATGATGACAAATTTGTTTTTTTTCAAAATTAACCTATTGAAGAATAGGAACCCAAAATTTAACCAATTGAAGAATAGGAACCCAAAACCACTCTGGGGTTCCTATTCTTCAATTGACCCAAATTGTTTTTTTCCCTTTTTTTGAAAAAATTTTACGCTATAGTTTTTCATTTTTTCGATTCATTTGATGGTGGTGGTGGTAGACGAGAGATGCTATTGCATTCGTATGGAATGGTTATAATCAAAATGAAATTGAAACGATCAACAACAACAACAACAAAAATGGTGAGGATTCTCAAACCAGGCGAAATATCAGCAACGAAAAACATTTTTTTATTATTTCAGACATCGCCCAGCAGAAAATGCCCAAATAATCTTTTTTGTTGTTGATGTGTTTGGGCGAGCACACATTTGAACATTCTCAATTTTGTTGCTTAAAAAAAAATATTGAAATTGTATGTCGTTTTCAAAGCAAAGCAAAACGAAGCAAAAAAAATGGGCAGTTTTTTTTCTGGAAAAAACATTTCGAATAAAAGATACCTGGAGAGTTTAAGTGCAAGCATCATCATCATATTCAAAACAACAAAAAGCAAAAATGAAAAGAAACGGTAGAAAGCGAACGGTGTGTGTATGTGATGTGATGTGATGCAAAAAATTACTAAAAAGGATTTTTTCTTGTTGTTGTTGCAATGTTTTGAATAATTTTTTTTGTTGTTGAAAACATTGCAGAAAATCTTTTCTTTTTTGCTGAAAATATCAAATATATTCATTTGCTTAATGTGGATAAACAAATTTTTTGTTCAAATCAATTTCGTTAAGCATCCCTCATTCATCTAATCTTGTTGAGATTTCTTCAATAACTTTTTTGTGAGGGAGAGAGCGAGAGAGAGAGTGTGAAAAAAAGCTGTTGCTATAATCGTTGAATGTTACGCCCGAGAAATATCCAATCAATAAGAAATTTTCTTACCAATTTTCTTATTTCATACTTTCAACCAGATTTTGGATTAAAAACATTTTCAACAAAAATCAATCATCATATTTACCAATCAGTCAATGTATTTTCAACACATCGAAATTATGATTTCGAGAGAAATGAATGGCAGAAAAAATATACCATGTTACTATTGAGAACTTATGATTATTATGATGATAATAATAATAATCATGTAGGTATATATCCAAAGTATATGATTATCACATCATCACTGAATATAAAAATCCAAGAAAGAAAGTCAAAATGAAAAATCCTATATGTAGTAATTATACAATTGGATAGGATTGTAATGTAATGTAAAGATTTAGTTATTATTATATGATATGATAATGGTCAATGTTTATTATTGTAATAATAATGATAATCATTATTAAACGATAATTGTCAATCTACGTAGACTTTAGTTTAGTTTTCTTTTCATAGACAGTGTTTAGCCCGAATTTCTTTGGCAATCAGAGTGAAGGACAGACTTATAGGGGAAAATATTCGAGTTTCTTTTTCCCCTTTTTTTTGGAAAAAAATTATGATGAAATTTTCAATCAATTTGATTCACACGTGCATGCACGAATCGATACGTACACGAATAACGAAAAAAAACACGTGCATGTTATTTGTTTGTTTTTTTCTTTGAAACAAAAAAATAAACACAGCATGCAAAGCGATTTAAAGTTTCTTTTTTAAAATTTTTGAAATTTTTGAATTTTTTTTTCACTGGAAAACAGGATAACCAGATAATTGATATTTTGTTTAGAAAATTATTACAGCCAAAAAAGAAGAAAAAAACAAACAAACAAACAACCATTATAACACATCCAACAACAAGGATTCAATAATGAAACAATCAATCAAAAAAAAAACTAAACGAAATGGATAACGCCTAGATTATTAAAACGATAATGGATGCAATGGAAAAATGAGCAACAGGTAAAACAAACATGGATATCCCAAAATGATCATCATCATCATCATCATCATCATATATCATGTATGCATTCCATATTTAAACAAACAAACAAAAACAACAAAATCTTGATGTTCTTCAATCAAATAAGAATCCATTAATTTCATTCGGCTTATTTCTTAACGATCCAGAAAAGCAACTACAGCAAAAAAAAAAAAATTATTCAAAAATTTTGACCTACAAATACACTGAATACACTTGTCTTTCTGGTCAATCATATATTATTATTCATTTTCCTTTTTCCAAATAAACAAAAACAAGTGAAAAAAAACAATTATAATCACAACAAAAAAAAATTCACACTTTCGGCCAACATCAACATCAACAGGCAACGCAAATAATAAATATTTAACAAAAAACAACAACAACAACATTAAACACCACCAACACCTTACACCTTACATAGAAACACACAAACACAGAGAAATGATGAATAATAATCATTATCATCATCATCATCATCATCATATAATAATAATATTCATAATCATAATATAAATATGAATAGCCAACTGAACTGAAATGAAATGAAATGAATGAAATGAATGGAATGAATGAATGGAATGAAATTTATATTTTTTTTCCAATTGACTGCTTGCCATCATCACTACTGACATAATGAATATTTTAAATATGGATTCACAAGTTTTTGTTTTGCTTTTGGTTGTTTGTTGGCCATTCCTGTGTTTGTGTTCCACTAGCTTCGAAAGATTTTAGACAACAAAAATGAATGATCCAGCAATATATTTTTCTGCTGTGTTTAAGTTTTTCTGTGTTTTTTTTGGGAAGAAATTCAAACCGACGCCCTGTTTCTTGGGCAAGATTTGATTTTGTTGTTGTTCAACATTTTTTTGAAAACAAAAAATCTAAAATCTTGAAACAGCAAAAATTGATATTTTTTAAAGAAAAAAAACGACAAAATTCAAAAGTTTTTTATCAAAATTTTTCATTCAGCTGGTCACTATTTTTTTTCTCATTACCATCAAGATTGAAACCAAAAATAACAACAACAACAACAACAGAAAACTGACCACATCTTTGAATGAAGATCACGATCAATTTTGATGGTCAAACATATTTTTTTTTTTTCGATCATCAAAATCATATCATCATCATCATGATCGAAACAGAAACATAAAATCAAAAACAAAAAAATCAAAGAGAAAACACACAACACACACACACACGTTGTTCATCATCAAAGAGCCAAAAGAAAATGATCAAAACTGGCCTTGTTAGCCGGAACTTTTTTTTCTTCTAAAATTGATGCTGCTTGCATGATGATGATCATCATCATGCAAGCTCGATTTATATTCCAATGAAAAAAATATATATGACGCCTTACATATATATAAACAAAAAATTATGATCACATTATTTTCACCTTGTAAATTTTCGACATTTTTTTTTTGTTTCGTTTTTCATTGAAACTTTTTTTTCACCTGTTTCTTTCTTTCTCTGAATATAATCAAAAACATTGTTGTTGTCGTCGTTGTCATTGTTGTGAATGTATTATTTATTCTTGCATTCGAATCAAACGGAATTCTGTTTTTCCGGAAAAAAAGAATCTGTATTTGTTTCATTCAAAGATTTTCGATATTCGATGATAACAATTGGTTAATGAAAAAAATTAAAAAACGAAAGTTTTTTTCAGATAAACAAATAGTTTTTTTTCACACCTGTTTGATCATTATCTAAATGAAATGTTTGTTTGGACTTTTGAAAAAAAAACTCAAGGAAAAATACTATAGTTAACAAACAAAATTTCAAAAAAGTAGATCACCTTTTTCTATAATCGCATCACCATTTTTATTCGAAAATAAACTTACCAAGCATTTTACTTAGATCCGCATTATGTAGATCCGGATTTTCATCGGCCAAACGTTTACGTTCAGCTTTTGCCCATACCATAAAAGCATTCATTGGACGACGAATTCTTTGCTGTTGTTGCTGCTGTTGTTGTTGTTGTTGATGATGTTGTTGCTGTTGTTGATAATGATGATGATGATGCTGCTGTTGTTGATGATGATTATGAAGATGATGAGAAAGATGCGGATGTGAATGTAACTGATGTGAAAATTGTGGATGCTGTTGTTGTTGTTGTTGTTGTGGATGATGATGATGTTGATGATGAACGTGTGATATATGTTCATGATCAATATTGCTACCACTATCGATTGTAATATTTGATTGTTGTTGTTGTTGATCGATTGTTGTAGCCATCATTGATATTGGTGATGTTGATGATAATGGTGGTGGTGGTGGTTGCTGTATTGGTGGTGTTTTAGAATGATGCATAGTTATCAATGATGATGATTGATGATTATTACCATCACTATTATTATTATCATTGTTATTGATGAGAATATTTGAATTATTGCTGTTCGATGATCCATGTAACGGATGTGAATGTTGTTGTTGTTGTTCAAAATGATGAGAATGGCCAATATTACCACCACCGGAAATATTTACCGGTGATGTTGTAGCAGTTAAACTACTACCACTATTATTGCTTGTAGGTAATAATTGTGAAAATGGCAACGGTGGTGATGATACGGATGATGAAGACGAAGATGATGAAGATGATGATGATGATGATGACAATAATGATAATTGTTGACTCGAATAATTTGTTTTTGTTGGTGATTTTGTTGTTGTTGTTGTTGCGTTCATCATAATCATATCTTTATCATTTGCTGATAATGATGAATGATGATGATGATGATGTTGATATAATGATGAATTATTATTATAATTAACCGATGTCATTACTGGTGATGATGGTGACTGTTGTTGTTGTTGTTGCTGCTGTTGTGACCATATTGTAGGATTTATTGATGATGTTTGTGATTCTTGTGTAGAATTTGGATCATTTGGATCATTATAACCGGCCATCATCATCATCATTGGCATTCTTGTTGATGATGATGATGATAATGGAGAATCATTATATGAAGAATCAGTTGTCGAAGTTATTGTTGTTGTCACTGATGCAGATGCGGATGATAATGATGTTTGACCATTCATAATTATTGAATTATCATCATTATTATCGTTATTATCATGTTCGCCATAATAATCATCAAAAGATTCTTCTTTTTCTTCTTCACTACTATCGATAGGTGTTAATTTTGTAAATTCTAATTGTTGTTGTTGATCACTTGTTGTTGTTGTTGTTGTAGTAGGTGTTGATTGTATCATCATCAACAACATCTTTTAATTTGAGAAAATGTTTTTTTTATGTAAAAAACGATTCATTCGTTTCAATTGAATTAATTTCACAAAAAAAAAATTATCAAAAAACAAATAAACAAACAAAAAACACAACAAAAAATAATGATTTTGAAAACAATAATAACAATAATAATGAAAAACAAAACAAACGAAAAAAAAACAAAAGAACAACAAGAATATATGTCACTCCAACACTAAACACAAAGGATTTGTATCAAGTTTGTATTGTCCATTTTCCAGCAGCAGTAAGCAGGTATATCTGATTCACCTGAAAATCACGGTAACTAAATTGAAATTTGTCAACCAGCAAAGTTTAAAGGGGAAAAACAGTTTTTTTTTGTCTAACCAATCACATCCACATTCAAAAAAACACGTGTTTTTTGTTGTTTTTTTCTGAAATAAACAAATTTCAAATTGAATGATTTGAATGTCATATTCAAATGGATGTTTGAATGATGGTTTACACTACTGTAGAAACAGAAACCAAAAAAAAAAAAAAAATATGACATACATTTAGCAGTCAGAAAAAAAAACGTAATGATGATATGATGTTTGCAACAAAAAGAAAAAATGCGTAACGCCTTATGTAGGATGGACTTGAGGCGTTTTTCTGTCGTTGTTATTGATAAATTTCTTTTTTACTTTGTGATAATAATGTTGATGATTTAGTTAAATATTGGATTGATTTCCAGGTATTTTTTTTGCAGGTTAAAATTTACTTTTCCAAAATCTTCGAATCGGTGAGGGAAGGATATCAATTTCAAGCTGATGATGATATTAGGTGGGTGGAAACTTTATTTGTAGGAAAAAAATATTGATGATGTTAACGGAGAAAAACGAGGAAAACAAAAACACCATACAACACAAAAAGATTAAACCAAATATTTACTTTGACCAATATTTTTCTTTTTCAACGATAAAAGACACACTAAACACATTGTATAAAGGGATTCACTTTCATACAAGTTTCATACAAGTTGTCATCGATTGATTGCCTGGATTGATCGATTGACGTTCACAATGTTTGTTCGATCAAACGTTGATGATGATTGACTAGAGATGAAAAACAAGCAAGTGAAAAAAAATAAAGTGAGAAAATGTAAAAAAAAAAGTAAACGGAAATATCCTCACAGAAAATTACAGAAAACTGTTGCGCCAGCTTTTAATTGATGATGTTGATGATGATGATGATCAGCGTGAATATCAAATTCCGTTCTTTGAAGCTAAAAAAAAAGAAAGTGAGAGAAAAAAAAATCAAAGAATTATTTAGGATTCTTTCAGACATTCTGAAATGAAAAACCACCAACAACAACAACAACCAGAATCAACAGACAGGCAGGCAAAACAGACAGAATGTCATATCGCTATTTTTATTCTAAAAATTTTCGCTTTTCATTCACATGTTGAAAATGTCATATATTTTTTTTTTTTGAAATAACATCTTTATAAACATTTTCATCATCATCATCATCACATCATAAGATTTGATTCGGTGAGAGAGAGTGAGAGAGAAATGCATATGTTTTTATTTTTATAACATTTTATTCTCTCATTTTTTTTCTTGATTCAAAACATTAACAGAATTTTTTTCTTGTAGAATCAAGAATATGAAGAAGAAGAAGACAATGAACATTATTGGAAGAAAAGAAAAGAAAATTTTGGCATTGTGTCTCGGATATATTTTTTTTTTTTCATTTTCTAGCTTCGTTTATCATTTTGTACGTTTGTTTTGTTTTGTTTTGTTTTTTTCGAAATCAAATTCAACTGATGTGATGAAGAATTTTATTCTTTGATTACATTTTTTTGTTTCTAAAAGAAAATATTCTTTATTTTTTTTATATGCTCATTATTATTAAATGAATCTTAATGGTAGAAACAAAAAATAATTAGAAGATTCTTGATAATATAATGATGATAATCAAATGTGTGATAGTCAACGAGAGACGAGAGACAAAAAGGTTAAACACCAAGATTTTTGTGGTTTTGTTATGCGATATGATCGTGAAAAAAGGATGTTTTTCTTGATTGAAAATTCAATTTTTCAATTTAAAGTAGAAGATGAAGATGAATTATCGATCAATCGATTGATTGATGATGTGACCATTATCATAATAATTAACCCTTTTGATCACCGCACGGATGATGAATGAATTCAATGTTTTTTTCTAATTTTCTTTGGAAAAAACTCAGATGATGATGGATGATTGATATGAAACAAAGAAAAACATTCAAAATGATTAATTATTTTTCAATTTGATCATTTAACAACTAATGATTTGCACTACACACTGCACTATTTACACATCAATGACACACACAGAATTTTTGTCATAACCAAAGGAAAAACAATCAACTACAAACCTTTTCGTTCAAAGAATTTCAATGATGATGATGTTTATTCTGAGAAACTGAAATCAAAACAACAACAACAAAAAACATTAAAGCAACAGGTAGATGATTTTTTCTGTTTTTGGTTTTCGTAGATATTATTGTTGTTGTTGTAGTTGTAACGTAGCAGCGACAACAACAACAACAAGCTTATGGCAAACGCGCCAAGCAAGTTATATTATTACAATACATTATTTGAAGAAATTTTTGAAGAAAAATAGAAGAAAACATTGTGTGTGTGTGACAGGAAGCCATCACATGAAATGAAATGGATGGCGAAACAAAAAAATCAAAAAAATCAAAATAGGCGGCATACAAAAGAAGGAGATACGAGTAGGAGAAAAAAAAAGAATGGAAAAAAATGGAGAGAGAGAGAGAGAGAGAACAGACATCATCAACTAATCTGGAATATTGAAAAAAAAGAAGAAAAATAAAAGAGAACAGATACCACCACCACCACCACCACCATCAACACTGATAACCACCTGAAGATGTTGATGATGAAGTTCGAAGATCAAAATTTCAAAACCTGGACTAACTAATCATTTGGAGAAAAAATAAAACAAAAGATCCAATGTCAAGATATTCCTGTTTTATTGGGTGGCTTTTTTTCGGGGGAAAAAAGAAAATTTCCCATCTAATCACGCACTGAATGATGTATTAACACTTTTGGAAACATACGCGGAAGAAACGTATTCGAAAGAATTACAAATTCATTCACAAATGACGTGCTGTTGGATCATCATAATCTGATTCATTTTTTTTCAAAAAAAATTTAAAAAAAATTTAAAAATTGAAATTAAATTCCTTTAACAACAACAACAACAATAAGTAAGTGAACAACACACAATCAATCATCATTCGAACCTAAATTTGATGATGATGATAAAAAACAAGAAGTAGTGGTGATGGTGAATTAAAAAAAAAAACAAAAGAAAATATATTTTCTTTCAAATTTCCATCATTCGAAGACATTATTTGGATGTGATGGTGGTGGTGTATATCGTTTCTATCCTATCGTTCAGCAGCAAGAAGACATCTTAGCATCGTTGTTGTTCTTCGTCGTCGTCGTCGATTGCCAAAGCCACACACAGATGATGATGATGATGATCATTATTATTATTATTAACTTTTTGGTGATGCCGAATGTCGATGATAATAATGCTTTTTTTCGTTACTGATGCTGCTGCTATGTTCCTTTTACAGAGTAAAGCAAAGAAAAAAAACTTCATCGGTGATGATGTTGATGATGAAAAAAGAATGATGCTGAAGAAAAGTTTTTTTTTGTTTGTTTCGTTCATGATGTTGTTGATCATCATCCATAGTCTTTTCTTCTTTTCTTTTCTTGATTTTATTTTCTATTCTTCTTTTTCTCTTTTTGTATTTTTTGATGCTCAAATTGTTGTTCTTCTGCTTGTTGTTCGTTTGGTTCGTTAGTTTGGTTGGCTGCAACAATTGATGTAAAGATCATTTTCGAAGAAAACCGGAGAATAATATACACACATGCACTGATGATGGACCATTGAAGATTGTTGAATTTTTGTTTTTTTTTGTAGATTTGATGATCATCATCAGCATGTTGATATGATTTGATTTTTCTTAGAAAAAAAATTGTTTAGCTTCCATTTTATTTTCACCAAATGATTGATAAAGAATTTTTCACCCATAATGGTGAAGAATTTAAATTTCACTCTACCGCGGTAACGCAGGGTTAAGAAATTTGAAACTTATAGGGATGATGATCATTATCGTTTGAGATTTTTGTCGAAGAAAAATATTCTGATATTATCCATGTTTGGATTGATAAGATTCATTTTTCTTTGTGTGAATTTTTTTGTTTTGCAATGCAGAAAAACACGTTTTTGTTTTCATTATTGTTATGATTAATTGGAAATCGTGAAAATCGAGTGAAAAAAATAATCAAGATTCATCAATGCTTTTGATGATAATCAAAAGATCAAAAGCAAAAAACAAGCGAAAATTTCGACCATCCAAAATCAAGATTAGTTCAAAATAGAATCAGGAAACCAAAAACAAAAAA